GACAGTGAGAGTGAGAGAGTGAGAGAGAGAGAGAGAGAGACAGAGAGAAAGGTCTTCCTTCCGTTGGTTCACCCCCCAAATGGCCGCCAAGGCTGGCACGCTGTGCTGGTCCGAAGCCAGGAGCCAGGTGCTTCTCCTGGTCTCCCATGTGGGTGCAGGGCCCAAGCACTTGGGCCATCCTCCACTGCACTCCCAGGCCACAGCAGAGAGCTGGACTGGAAGAGGAGCAACCGGGACAGAACTGGTGCCCCAACTGGGACTAGAACCCGGAGTACCGGCGCCACAGGGGAAATAAATCTTAAAAACAAAAAAAACAGAGCATCGTGCCTAGAGCTGGGCTCTGGGCCTTTGAGACACCAGGATTTAAGGCAGAGAGCAGGCACTAGTGCCACTAGTCTAAGAAGCTGGCTGTTCCTACCAAAAGGGCGATTGGCCTCCTCAGGCATAAACCCACACTCAAACCTCAGAGTGGCTGGGATGGCCAAGCTCAGTCAGCTGCCAGCCACAGGAGACACTGGGAGTACCTTGTTTCCAAGAGCGGTGCTGTCTTTCAACTCGGGCCCTGCACTACCTCTCTGGCCATGCCACTGCTTGCAAGGTGAGCAGTTGAGAGGCCCGGGAGATGCGCCCACCTGGAGCCTGTGACTATCTGGCATCCACGCCCACCTTTCCAGGCCTGGTGCTCTGGCTACGAAAGGACTCCACAATTCCTTGCCCGGTTGGTCTGAAGTCTACGTGGGTCTCTCTCTCCCAGGGATACCCTTCCGGGTAGAGACACTGCCTTCTACTTGTGTACCTTTAGGTTTGAGAGGCGGCCATGGGACAGCTGTTGGGGGAGAGTGGTGGAGCATACCTGGGCACACAGACTAAAGTGTCCACATGCATGCAAGGGCCCTTGGAGTACCACACTGAGTGCTGGGGGCTGGTACGTCACTAGGGGCCTCCTTTGTATGGGCCTGCCATGAGCCCATCCGCTGGTGACACTGAAAACAACACTTGGTGACGTTGCTCTGTTCCACGTACCAGCCACCACTGGAGTCTGCTGTTGCCTAATCTACCTCCTCCTTCCAACCTGTGACCTCAGGAAAGCTGCCGCCCTGAGCTGGCCCTGTGCTGGTGCTGGCCAGGGAAGGAGCAGAGGCCCCAGCACTGGCTTCTTGCAAGGGTGAATACCACACACCACAAAGGGGCAGCGTGAGTCGGAATGTGCCAATGTGCTTGGGTGCTGGCGTGCAAGTGAGCAAGGGAGAGTGAAAGAGAAGGAGGCCGACCACACGACATAGCACACATGCAAGAGGGAGAAGACGGATGCGTGCGTGTGAGCACCCATGGGGTGCAGGAGGTGGCTGGGGAGCCACCCAGCACCTACACCAGTCCCTGGGGACTGTGTGGGTCTAAGGACCTGGAGAAGGAGAATATGGAGGCAGGAGCGCGCCTCCTGATCTGTGTGAGTGTGCATGAGAAGGAACAGGAGAGCGAGGCAGGATGGCCAACTCCTGGAAGCACACGGGGAGCCTGGAGCAGAGAGCTGCACACAAGATGAAAAAGACTTGGAGGTGTGTGTCCGCCCCCACGGGGCCCTGGGAGGCGGAGACAGGCCACGTGCCCGTGTGCTGGGATGTGCATGTGTGTCTGAGAGCACGTGCTGTGACAGGTGAGGACAGACACGCGTGTGTAAGCATGTGTGGGAGTGCCCTGGGTGGCGGGGGTGGGTTCCAGCTAGCACGGTTGGTCCTGCGGCAGCTGCGGGCTGCCTGAGGGTGTTGGCAAAGCCTGAGGATGTCCCCCCGCCCCAGGAAATCCCAATCTGAGAGGGCTGCATGACCTGCCCGGTGCTGGCTCAGGTCCTGGTGACCGTGGCGGGGAACGCGGGTCGTGCCGCCCCGCTGGAGGTGTGTGGGAATCAATGAGTCACTCAGGCATGGCTGCCTGCATCTTGTCCAGCGTGGGGAAGACAGTGGGGAGCAGAGACCACGCAAGGGCTGCCTTTCTACAGCATTGTTATGGAGTTTCTGCGGCGCTCATGGGCACCTTCTAAAAGCCCAGCAGCACCCCAGCTCCTTGGTCTATGCACCTCCATTTCTTTTATGTCCAAGTTGTGGCACAGGTCAGGGGCTCCGGCTGACAAACAGCGATTGGGACTTTGCTCCACACCTCACTCAGGATCCTGTATCTATCATGCCAAAACCCCTCCCCCAAGGTCTCCCTGCCCCTTCTTCTTAGCACTTACCACTGTTTGCCAAATCATGTATCACATACTTTATTTACAGTTTCCCTTAACAGCAGGTGTCTATATGACCCTTGCTATGTAGCAGGCACTGTTCTAAGCTCCTTGTTAATTCACAGCATCTTCCAATATCTTCATGCAGCACTTTATGAACCACTTTCTTCCCATTGTAAATGAGAGCTCCAGAGAGGTGGAGTCGCTTGGGCACAGTCATTCCACTGTAAGTGGCAGAGCCAAACAGGGGGTCCAGAGGCTCTGCTCTTAGCCCGCGTGTAACACCGCCCTGTAAGGGCAGGAGGTTTTCTCAGTTTGCCTCACTGTTGAACCTCCAGTGCCCACAGCAGTGCCCAGCACACGCAGGTGCTCAATTCACAGAGAATGCATGAAGACCTAAGAGAAAAGATTCTGGACATGGAGGACGCAGGGATGAAATGGAGAGGTACTTGCTTTCAAAGAGCTCATGGTTCCACGGACCAGACAATCCCGCATCAGGATGGCAGCCTGGGAGTCCAGACAATTGCCCTGGTCTTGGGCAGGCAGGGATTAACAGAGGAAGGATTCAGACAGGGACAGGTACAGGGACACTGCCTCCCTCCTCCAAACCCCTCCTGGGGGACGAACACACCGTACGTCTTCCTGCCTCAGTCCCCAGCGCTCCAGAAGATGATGGAGACAGGCTCTGGGGAGAGACTGCCTGAAGTCTGCCCACCCAACTCCAGCTAAGTGACCTTGGACGGGCTGCCTGGCCTTCCCAGGCATGGTCCTCTCCTATGGAAGATGGGGAGACGCAGCGGCACTGACTTCCTAAGGTACTGCATGAGGATGGCAACACGCGAGCTCCCCTGGAGGTGGCCAACACCCCTCTGCCATTCCATGCTGTTGGCTGGCTCTTGGGGAAGAGTGAGAGAGAGGGTCAGAATTCAACAGGATATGTATTACTGTAGCCCTCTGCTGTGGCTCCTTTCCTATTTCAAGAAGCAGCTCGAAGCAGAATTCGTCCATGAACCTTCATCGGGGCAGGGGTTATGACTGGTACATTTACCGCTATATGCCTAGCACCTGATACAGGATCTGAAACGCAGTAGGTGCCCAGTTGTTTGTTGAATGAATGACTGATTACATTTCTTTACTCCCTTGGGACCCCTGTGAGGCTGTTCACATTGCTGGTGTTTCCATTTACAGACAGGGACTGGAGGTCCAGCAAGGTTAAGTGACTTGCATGTAAGCACACAGCCTGCAGGCAGAAGAGCCAGACTCAGATACCACACCCCACGGTCTTTCTTCCCCACCAGGCTACTCTCTGCACGGCTCTAAGTCATGTCCTACTTCCCCTGAACTTTTTCCAGCCAGCAGGGCCGGCCCTGATTGTGGAATCATCTCCGAATTCTATGACTCACATCTGAATCACAGAACTGTTTAATAGTTGAAAGGGACTTTTGATGTCATCTAGACCTCCCACCCAGTGTGGAAATTTCCCCTGCCATGTCTGGCCAATACTTGGATGCCTCCGGTGAAGAAGCACTCGCTCTGGAACACTCAAGTTCTAGGACAGGATCACTGGTAGAATCAGCAAGTTCTACAGCCACAGTTTTAAGTGTTGGGCTTGGGTCATTCTCCTAAGGTACCAGAGTGGATCTGCGTCCCTTCTATGAGACAGTCTTTCAGATATCCAGAGGGCTCTCACATTCCTTCAGTGAATTTTTTTTCTGGTCCCCACAAGGATCCCAAGACCATCTTACTAGGCCATCCAAGGTGTTTTGCATGCTAGTACCCCCTACTGGACATGGGGGGAATTGCACTAAAGGGCTCACTGGTGAGGTTGTATGAGGAGCTGGTTCCTCAGGAGCCAGGGCACTGACACACAGTGTCAATCAACTGCTTATTTTGAAGAGTCACAACAGAGCAGTCACACCTGGTTGCTTTCAATGTCTATCTTCAACACTGTCATTCTAAGTCTCCCTGCCAGTCGCAAGGTTTCTGGCGAGCTACAGCTTTGGGACTTCTAAGTTAGAATCCAAAAGATTCTGTTTTTAAACCACATATTTAGAAGGAGAGATACAGCAATGTATGCTGTGCTATAGGATTATGGTGATTTTTCTTTTCTTTTTTCCAATTTGTCTTTATTTCCTGGTATTTCTACAATGGACATTTTATAAGAAGAAAAAATGATAGAGATTTTCTGAAAACGTCTTACCATTATGTCCCCCCACCCTCTTCCATTTATTCTTTCCATGATTAAACAACCGTGACCTTGGTATTTGGTCTGTAACTGGGATTTGCCAGGCCCAGGAGCGCCTAGGGCACGTCTCCGTAGTGACCGCAATGGCCTGGGGTTCAGCCAGCAGACTCCCTGTAAATGTGCTCCCCTGAACTCAGGCAGCAGTTTCATACTCACAGCCAAGCTCGTCAACAGGGCTGACAGGCAGTTCTTCCCATCATCCACCCCACCCTCGGTCTGTGCAACCTCCAACCTTACCTCTTGAAGTCTGCCCAACACATCGTGGCCAGTGGCCATGTCCCTATCAGTCCTGGACTCCCCGGCCCTTCACCCATCTCTCCACCTCCTGCACACCCTTGGCTGCCTTCCTTCTGAGCCTGGGGAAGCTCCAGATGATAAAAGGACAGAAAGACCTCAGGGATGAGAAAGACGAATCTCCATCGGAATGCGTTCCTCTGGAGCAAGCTCATGGCTAACCAGGCTCTCCGCTAGCCCCAGCATCAGCCTGGGTGTCCTGGCTCTCCACTGGGAGCTCTGGGTGCTGGGAAGACTCACCCGGCAGCCTCTCACTGCAGCACATGTCCAGGGCCCCTCGCTCGGAGTCATCGGCAGCGTGGTTCTCTTTCTCACCCCTGCAGTAGAATGAAACATGTGAGAGGGCGCTGTTGAGCCAGGACCGAGACAAAACCCTGAGCACAGAGAAGGCGGCCTCCTCTCCTGCACTCTGTGTCTCTTTGAGTAACCTCACCCCATCTGGGGGACCCGAGGAAAAGACCAGCCCGTGGAGGGGCCAAGCTGCAGAGCTGGGAGCAGAATCTTGCAGTGTTTTCCATGTGGAACCCGCAGCAGCACAACCACCACCATCATCCCCTCCACCATGAAAGGAGGGCTTAGCATGTGCAAATCACTTTACACATTTTGCCACCCTGAGTCCTCACCACGACCCCATGAATTAGGGATCATTAAACAGATTCAGAGGGGTTAATTAAGTTGCACAAGGTCGCACAGCTCATTAGGGTGGAGTGGGCTTCGCAGTTACGATCTAGGACTCCAGGCTCATGCTTGTGAAGCAAGAAGTGGGGTCCGGGTAACACACAGTCCTGGGTCCAGCTCCCAGGTTCCTGTGCCTCAAGCAGTGCAAAGTGGCATGCACAACTCTTCTCCAGAAATAGCTAGGAAAATTAGTTTATGTATATATTGCATATTGTAAATATTGTCTTTCTGAAATCAGAACACCCTCTTTCTAGCCTATCAGGGCACGTTTTGGGTCTGTACTGGGGTCAAGCTTTTCTCCTTTACCCAGCAAGCTGGAACAGGGTTGCGGGAGATCCATCAGGCCCCATGAGGCATCTCCAGAGTGGACGTCTCGCGAGGGCAACCATGCCGTGTGCAGGGGTCCCCTTCCCTGGCAGTGGCCTGAAAGGCAGGCAGGAGCTGGTGTGGCTCCGACTGTCCTTTGTATCTGCGACCATTGGCAGGAGCTGCCTGATGCACAAAGCAGGCTGAGACGATCAGGTCCTTCCCCTCCACGTTTGAAATGCGTTCTGGAGGGTCTGGCATCTGCAGCCCTGGGTACTGAATCATGGTGGCCATGGTGCCCTGGAGGGCGGGGCCTCGGAGCTGCTTCACCCCTGCCCAAGCTGAGTCTTGACTGGGCAGTGTGTCCATCAAGGCCACGAGACACCCCCGGAGTCTGCCAATCAATCCCCACATTATAGCTAAGGCAGTGGGCCCTGACTTCTGTAAACTGGCAACCAAAAGAACCTTTTGTACAGACTTGTTAGCGTAATGCTTCCAAGAAGTACTGGAGCCAGGTGCCCTCTTTTTCCTTTGAAAATATTTATTTATTTATTAAAAGCAGAGTGATGGAGGGAGAGAGTGAGGGTTCTCTTCTATCTGCTGGTTCACTCTCCAAATGCCTGCAACAGGCAGGGCTGGGCCAAGCCAGAGCCAGGAGCCAGGAGCTCCACGTGGGGCTCCCGTGTGTGTGGCAGGAACCCAAGCCCTTGGGTTATCTGCTGCCTCCCAGGCACATTAGTAGGAGGTTGGAGCAGAAGCATGGAACAGCCAGGACTTGAACCAGAAACTCAGACGTGGGGTGCAGGCATCCCAAGTAACAGCTCAAAACATTTGCCACTGTGGCAAAACATCCGCCCCCTAGGCTTGCTCTGAGGCCTGTTTTAGGCCCAACCACAGACTTTAAATAAGGAAGGGCAGACAGGCTGGGTTAAGGCTGACCCTTCTCACTCGGGTATCTGCACTGTCAATTGGTATTGTGTTATTTTGTTTTTTCCTTGCTCCCAGTGGCAGGGTCTCTGGGAATCCCAGGTCCTGGAGCCCCGCTGTCCTGCAGAGAAAGGGTTGATCTTTCAGGGCAAATGCTGAACTTTAAATGCTCTTGTTAAAGGTCCCCTTTCTCCTGTTCCGCCATTCTGGCCCAAGCCACCATCGTTTCCTCTCGTGCCCAGATTCCACATCAGTGTTTTGATTGGTTTCTGCTATCCACTCACATTGGCCTCCAAAACATTGCTCGTGTGGCTCTAATACAAATGATGTATGCAGGTTGTTCAGTTTACAACCTGCACAAATGGTCAGAGCAGGCTTGAGTTAGAATCGGTTCCTAAAAACTCAACATTTGTCACATAACCTTCCTTGAAAAAACACTTTCACGGACGGCATCTATTAACATTTAGAACAGCAGTAACACTCCTCTGACATAGCTCTTTAGACCTGCTGTGGCGGGGCCCACTTCTCCCTCCAACTTTGTCTCGTGTCCTTCTTCCACTTGGCCTCTGCACCCCAGCCACAATGGACAGGCTCTTTCCTTCACAGTGCCGTGGTCCCTACTTTTATCTCTGCCTGGAGAGCTCCTCCAGTTCTGCTTCCCAGTACTTCTTACCTACGGAATGTGACACAGTTGGAAATTTCATTTATGCCATTATTTGATTAACATCAGTCTCAACCATTAGACAGTAAGCACCATGAGGGATGCACCCCATCTGTCTTATCTCCCATTGGATCTTCGGAGCCTACCAAGTACCTGGCTCATAGCCAGGTGTTCAACAAATGAATCCTTGTGGAATAAACGAGTTTTCCCTGACATTAAAAAAAAAAATCAGGAGCCTCAAACAGAAGCTATCAACTGAGCTTCTCAGTGGGCAGGATTTGTTAAGCTGCTGGGAGCCCAACTCAACAGCTGTTGTCCATAGCAGAAGAGAATTACAGATCTGGAAGGTACCCATTTTACAGGTGAGGAAGCTGAGGCAGAGAATGGGGCTGTGGCTTGCCCTGCATTGTGTATTGATTCGGGGGCCATCCATCCCCGACCTCCCGATCCTCTTCCCTTCCTTTGTCCTAAAGAGCACCCCAGCTGGAAAGCAGCCCACTGAGGGTGGACACCTGGCTGGGTGCAGAGAGGCCACCCAGGTATCCTGATACCTCTGGAAGGAGACCCATGTATGACTCACACCTGCTTTCACACCTTAAAGCCTCCCAGGCCCCAAAACATGTTCAGAATAGCTCAGTGCTGCATGTGTGCAGCAAACTCTATAAATATGCTTCCCAGAAAGTGACTAATTTCATAATCAGAAAAGCAGGAAGAGTAGCACCTCTTGACTGCAGAGGAAAATGGAGCGAGAGCGCACGGCTTGGCCCTGCAGTCGGAGGGCTTAAGTTTTCAAAGGGCACGGATGGCACTCGGCACTCGGGTTGGATGGAGAAGCCTGGCTCTCGCGGTCCTGCCCTCCTTCCTGCCTGACGAGACCAGGAACAGCAGCCTGCAGTGGCTCACTGCAGGCTCCTCCTCCTCCCTCTCCCTCTCCCTCTCCACCTCCATCAGCCAGACAACCAGGGGCAGAAACTGGCTCATGCCAACAGGCAGCACCTCTCTAGGCTGCCCCACCCCCACCTGCAACTGCTCTTAGAACTGGAGACCCCAGAGGAGGCAGCACTGGGAAATCACACAAGGGGTATCTCCTTCGCGGATGGAGATATCCTGGTGGTGAAATAACTCCCCTAAGCCACTGCTTCATTCAGCCAACATTGGCTGGGCATGTCCCCAGGGCAAGGGGCAGAGTGGACCCAGGAAAACAGCACTGGACAAGCCAGGTCCTCCTCACGGGCCCTCAGCCTTCTCGGGGAGCCAGACACATAAACAAGTGAAATTTCACTTTAACTTGTGCCTTTGAGTAACGCTGGTCTCAACCACTCGACTGTAGACTGCACGAGGGAAGGACCACCACCTGTTTCACTTAGGACTGCTGTCTTTGGAGCCTAGCGCAGGGCTGGGCTTACAGGAGGGTCTTCAACAAGGACTTGTGGAATAAGAGTGCTGCCCCGACACTGCTGAGAAAACATCAGGAACCTCACACACTATCACGGTCCGAGCTGCTGGGAACCCAACTCCACTGCAGGTGGAGGATTGCAGACCTGGAGGGTCCTCATTTTACAGGGGAAACTGAGGCAGAGAATGGGGCTCTGCTGTAACGGAGGTATGCATGGGGAGTGCGCAGCTCAATCTGTGGTGAGGAGGAGGAGGAGGAAGAGGAGGAAGAGGAAGCCTCCTCCAAGGGAAGACAGGAGCAGAGTCTTAAAGGATGTGTCCAGTTGGCTGCGGGGTTGCCAGGGAAAGGGCTTCTCGGGCAGCACACGTAGCAAAGGTAGGGCCCGCAGGTTCAAGATGCAAGGAGCAGTTGGCACAAGATTGAGATGGAGAGGCAGAGGTGGGTAAGGCACACGGACAGAAGCTAAGACTCGCAAAAGCAGCAGCCTAGACACCAGGAGTCCTGCCCCCTGGTGGGGTGGCTCTTTGCCACTTGACCACAGTCACTCTGAAATGATGGGGGCTTCTCCACATCTGGCCTGGGCAGGGCAGGTGTGTAACAAGAACGGGCTGCATGGCATGTGTTGGGAGGGATGGACACTGGACACATCTGGAAGTGTCTCATCTGGTTCCAAACTAAATCTTTTTAGAACTGTGATAAAATTCACGTAGCATCAAAAGCAAAGCCTAGAGGTGAGAGCTGAATGGAGCAGTTGGTATTAACGGGAACAAGTGAGATGGAAAGGTAAATGGGGGCTCCAGTCAGGGTGTACAGTTCCGTGTGGGCATCTGGCCTGGTGATTAAGATGCCCAAGTCCCACAGTCGGGTAAATACCCAGCTCTTGCTCCTGGCCCCAGCTTCCTGCTAGTGCAGACCTGAGAGGCAGTGGTGATGTCTCAAGTGGTTGGGTTTCTGCCACTGACTTGGGAGACCTCGATGGGGTTCCTGGTTCTCAGCTTCAGCTCCAGCCCAGCCCTGGCCACTGCAGGTATTTGGGGGGTAAGGCAGCAGACTGTTATCTCAAATTTAAAAAAACTAAAATTAAAAAAGTATACATTTGGCAGCATACAGTACAATTTTGTGCCACCACCATTATCTAGTTCTGGGATATTTTTATCACCCTATAAGGAAACCCAGTCATTAAGAAGCCACTCCCATTCTTCTCTTCACTTAGGTAGGACCTGGCAACCAACGCTTCCTGTCTTAGGATTTTCACAGAAGTGGAATCACACAGTACATACACTTATGTTTTCTAGATCATCCGCACTGGTGGCACAGAGCAGCATCTCATTCCTTTCCATGGCTGCATGCTATGGACAGACCACCTTTCATTTCCCCATTTTTCAGTAGACGGGCAGTTGGGTGGCTTCCATCTTTTGGCTATGCAAGCAGTGCTGTTATAAAGCCAAGTTACTCTTGTATAATCTGCTCCCAACAAGTTTATCACTTTGGGCAACCTTTCCTAGTCCGGGGCCCGAGGCCTCATCTATGGTAGAACTTCAAAAAGTAGAAATTGAAATTAAATTTACATTGGTGCGAAAAAAAAAAAAAAACTTTCAGAATCTGTTGAGAGTTTTTTCATAAGCCACATTTTTCCTGGAACTTTCTGAAGAAGTATCGTAAGATGTTAAGCCTCTTGCAGCTTGAATGCTGTCACCTTCATTTCTTCCTGTGTGTGTGGGTAAGTGAAGGGAACACATGATGGCTTCTCCATCAGGGCTGGGGGCTGGCAACCCAGCCTGGACCACCCATCCTCACTCCCAGGAGCTCTTGCTCAGTGGTGGAAACATAGAGCAGGCGGGTACCTGTGGGCCAGATGCAGTGTTCTAACAGAAGCCTGTCCAGGAAGGACCGGGGTGAGATGGGAGGGGGCTACCTTAGAGTGGATAGAGTGCCAGCTTTGCCTGGGACTTCTGCAGAGGCCATGCTGACTGGTTTGGTTAGGTAGGCACAGGAGCATGAATCTCCTTTCAAGGCGTGTGGGGAGTGAGAGGGGGCTTGGTCATGGACCCCAGGACTACTGGGAGGGAGGCTGAACCACCTCCAGCCGTCATGCCCTCAACCTTGAGCTCCACACTCCTGGACCCCTTGACACAGCCCTCCTTGCCAACAGAGCTCCTCCCACCCTCCTGGGAAAGCTGTGACTCCATCAGGCATCTCTGTGTGCTGAATCAAACCCGTCTACTCCCACTTCCTAGTCTTTGTCCACACTGTTCACTCAGCTTGAAATGTCTCTTCCTCTTTTGCCAAATCTCATTTGCTGTGGCCGGACTCAGGCATAACCTCTTCCATGGGGCACTCCCTGATTTCCCAGTTAGAATTAATCATCAAATCTCTTTTGTCTCTGGGCTCTCCCCCCACAATACATGCTGCTATAGTTAGCTGTTTGTGCACCTGCCTCCCCCACTGGCTTCCGAGTGCCTTGGGAGCATCCTCACCCCCTCTCCCACCTCTGCATCCCAGGTGTTCAGCAGGGGGGCCGAGCCTGGTGATGCACCCGTTAAAGATCAAACGGAAGGAAGTGGCCGGGTCTCAGGGTTGGTGGCTCTGGGAGGCCAAATTCTGGCTGGGAGCTTTTCACCCTGGAGGCGGCGGCTAGACAATGGTGAAGGTGACCAGGAGGAGGCTCACTGTGCCATCCAGGTTTTCATTAGCATGTCAGTGTGCTGGGAGAGATGACATGCCGGTTTCATGGAAAAGATAGTCAGGCTAACCACCTTGTGTAAATGAGTTATGTGTTCCAGAGCATGCAGGTGGAAGTGGCTTGTCCTCCTCAATGGTTAGGCTGCCAGGACACCCCTACCCCCATCTCCTGGCCTCATGGTTCACCCCCAAGGTGTCTAGATGGGGAAAGGTGCCACCTGGGGCCAGGGCAGCAAGTTTTCTCTGCAAACAGCTAGCAGGAGTAAAGAGGTTACCATCAGAACATCTAGATAGGGAAACTGAGGCACACAGTGGTTAGGTAACCTGGCTTAGCTCACAGTGTGAACAGTTGTTATCTTTCTCCTCCCTTGAGTGCCCTGCCTGTCCCTTGGCACAGGGAGGGCCCCACGCCACAGCATGATCCCTTCCCATTTCTGCATCACACCCTAAGGCCTTCTGATAAGTCTCCTTTTTCACCTAAGTTATTCAGAGTCAGTTTCTGTTGCTGGCAGCCAAAGAAGCCAGACTGATGTGTGTGGCAAACTCAGGGAACAGATAGGCTCCGAGCCCAGGACTCCCAATGCTTAGTCCACTGTCCAGCCATCTGTCCTCACGTCTGAGCAGTCTGCACACTTGGGAGTGTTCTGGATTCCAAACACAGGGTCTGAGTGTTCTCTGCTTGAGACGAGCCCAGATGAATGAATGACTTCCCTTCTGTCCCTGCTCTGATGGTGGTATCTGGGGTGTGTGTGGCTGTAGCAGAGTCCCAAGGGAAGGGAACATGGTAGGGACTGGGTGGGCCCAACCTTGCTGAGGGGCTTAGGCAAGTTTCCACTCTTCATGTGGGTCTCATTCAAGGTCTGGGCCATTCATTTGGTCAACACACACATGACTACATACCATGGTGTGAGGTCTGGGGACACAAGGAGCTAGGAGCATCTCATGGGGGATGTATGTAAGAAAGTGGCAATGGCAACAGCAACAGAGTTGGCCCACGGGATGGGAGACTCCCAGGATGCCCTGGGAGCATGCTAATGAGGGAGAGGAGCCAGGGAAGGGCTATCTGCAGTGAGATGTGACAGAGGAGTGGGATGGGTGAGGAGAGGTGGCGTGTTTGGGCAGAAGGGGAGCAGGAGAATGGGCTGGGACTTGAGAGAAAGCAGGAGAATGGTGTGTTCTCCCTCACCCACTTCCTGTCCTCCGTCCAGAGAGCTCCCTGGCTCCCTTGGGGGGAGGTTTGGTTGCAGGACTAAAGGCCAAGTTTCTGGAGGAGCTAGCCTTGGTTCTCTGCTCTGTGGAAGCTGGGGGAGGCTCTTGGCTGGGAGGTGGGGTGTGAGGAGTGTAGCAAGATCTCTGGGCCTAGGAAGGTGACAGAGCCAGTCCTTGCAGGATTGGTGCCTGGGGTGTGTCTGTGGGGGGGGGGGGGGGGACCATGGGAGGACGCTCTGGGGATGACTCAGGTGCATGGAGAGGGTGGATCATGGCCTCTGGGGTCTGTGTGACCCACCCAGGGCTCGCCCGACCCAGGGCACAGAGGTGACAGATGACGAAGGGGTATCTCAGTTATAACCGACGTGGTTTCCTGGAAGCACGCCATGGCGGGCAGTGGCAGCAGCGGTGGGGGGAGGCACCCTTGGGAGCATTTCCTGCCAGCCAGGACTGACAAGGAGCTCTAACCCCGGGCTAATTTCATTGAAGGAACCTGATGAGATGACATTTCTCCCTCATCTGATAGGAGGGTTAAGAGAACCACGCATGCCAGAGCAGACTGTTGACCTGGGAGCCCACGGGAGAGGCAGCTGTGGCAATGCAGGTAAGAGGTGGTGTCTCCCAGCCCGTGCTGTGGCGGGGGGCTGCCTCCTCTGTAGGGCCATCTGCTCCCGCCGCCCTTGCTTTCAGACCACAGCCCCCCTCCATCCCTCCCAAGGCTGCGAGGCACGTTCTCGCCCTTCGTCATCGCTTACGCTGGCTCTGCCGCCTGCGATGCCATCACCTCTTTGCCCCCTCCTCTGAACCTGGCTCTGGCTTTCTGCTCCCTCTTCATCTTCAAATCCTAGGAAGCCTTCCCGGGGGGACAGTGTCTTTACCATTCTGAGCCTTAAATCTTAATCTCCCATTTGTCAATCAGAGCTGACAATCCCTGCCAAGCAGGGACGACCAGAGAGTGAGAGAAATGTGACGATGACCATGACGGTGCCTGATCCACAGCAAGCGCTCAGGAACAGTGTAAATGACCAACACGCAGAGAAACGAGCGTGTCAGTGGAGGGAAGCAGATGTAGATAACATGCAAGTCTCAGAAAAGGGCCAGGAACCGCCTGTGGAAAGGGCAGAGGGCTCTGAATGGTGCCAGGTTGTCTGGGGGCAGCCGCAGGCTGAGCAGAGCATCTGGGCACTGTGCCCTCCCTCTCAGGGACAGCGGGAAGGTGCTGTCAGGCCCTGCGATTTTGCCCAAAGGCCCAGCATGAACCGAGTTTACCTGCTGCCCTTTGCTCTCTGAGGCGCAGAGCGCTAGAGGGAGGTGTGAGGAGCCCCTGCCTTCTGTAATTCTTACACTGGGTGGGATGGGGGCAGCAGAGACACAGAGAGGTTCTCTGCAGGCCTTGGTCACCAAGCTAGGGTTGGAGGAGCAGGGGCCAGTGTGCACGTGGCACTGACAGAGACTGGGGCCTATGGCTGATGCTGGTCTCATCTTTGGGATGGGGGGGGGGTGTCAAGAACCTGACTGTGTGGCGGCTCCATGGACTGTCCCGGACTCTCTCTCCTGGTCAGGTGGGTGAGGAGGGAGAGTGGGGAAGGCAGCATCAATCCCCAGTCCCGCGCTCAGGAACTCCTGTGAGAACAGGATTAACACCAGGAAGGGCCTGTCTCTCTGTTGAACACTTATCACATGTGCCAGGCAGGGCTCCGAGGGTCTCACGTGTGCTGGCGTCTCTGACACGTACAGTGGCCCTACTAGCAACATGCTCCGTTACTTGGATTTTCTAGTGGCGAAAATGGAGATTGAGAGACGTGAAATGATCAGCCCAAGGCAGCACAGCTGGAAATGACACCTCCCCTCCCCGCTACCCCAACCTCTCTTCCCTTCCTCGTGTTAACTTTGGTGGGAAGCATACGGTGCATACAGAAGAGAGCACACGTTATCACAGTTGCTCTCCGTGCTTTTCAAAGATCCTACCATGAATCTGTGGTAGCACTGTGATGACACCCATTCTGTGAGAGGAAGTAACGAAGGCTTCGTGGTGGGGGGAGGGGGAGATGTGACCCTGCCAGGCTCACACAGTGGGAGCCCGAGGGAGACTCCCACACCCAGGGGCCTATAGGAACTCAACGGTGTGGGT